CGCTGAAAATATGAATTATCGCGTATTTCTGTTGTTCATTACATGCCAAGCAAAATTCGAGAACGTAATTTCATTTGAATAGCTTGTTCAACCAGGTCTTAAACAATCGTCACGTCGGTCATAGCTTGTTATGATTACCTGAACCATGCGTAAAGAGAAAATCGAAACATTTAACGTCGCGTGAAAATGGATCTTAATGAAGGCCTCTTTCATAGCTTTTAGTTTAAGGATTTCAAAGATCGTCGGTTGCAGTGGCTTGCTTACTGAGCAGAAAAACGCGGTCCCAGATCCTTTCATATTAAAAATGTATGGTTAGATCGCTTGTTCATCGTGTATTTTGTAAAACTTTTCGCTGTCGTCAGTGCCGGGTTTGAATAGTCATAAAAAAACTTGAGTAACGCTATAATGTGATATGAGGGTCTCGGTGGCCTTAGAGCAACCGATTTTGCTTACTGAGCAGAACATCATGAGTCTAATCTCAAGCCCATCCACATTCAAGATTCGTCAATCGTTTTATTTGTTAACATGACTACATGGTAATAACAGCAACTCGATGATTAAAATGGAGCTCGTCTGCCTAGTGGCAAACGTTTTTGCGAACTGAGCAGAAGACCCTGGGTTCAATCCCAGCTTATCGTTTACCAAAACGAACCCTGCTGCAAATCCAACCCTATTACCCTATATCCCAGTGATTCCTCGTGGAAGTGCAGAGGTGTTCTCGGCTTCCATCAAAGCGAGTGTCACGTCAACACCTTTCTTGACCTGTGTTCGGGCGCGGCCGACGCTGGTATTGCCTATTTTGAGATCACCAGTTTTTACACATTGAGGATGACAGCTTGTTTTTGAAGGACAGGGTGGACTTCCTGTTTATCAGAGGGTAGAGCGACCTGATCAACATGTTACACTGTTGATGTCTTGTCCACATGGGATCGGAATAGCAATTTTTTATCGAGGTAGACTCGACCATTCAATGGTAGTGCTATCAAGATTGATCTTGACGTTAGCAGACGGAACAAGCCGAGGTGAATTCGCGTGTTGAAACAGAATGGTTTGTGCTTTAGCTGCATTGATACAAATCTTCCAGATCTTGAAATAGTTCGACAGAACATCCAGGCATGATTGTAGTTTACTCGCCAGAGCACGGATCACTCGACATCTATAAAGATGAAGGAGGTGTCATCTGCGAACATTGACAGGCACCCGGCAGGCGAGGAACGTCTGACGTGAAAAAGTTGAATAGGGTAGGCCCGAGCAGGCTACCCTCAGAGATTCCTGTTTCAACGTTGAACGTATCAGAGGGGATATTGTCCAAGTAGACCTGGAATCCGACATGTAGTTTTTGATGATCTTCACGAGGTAGATCGGAAAGTTGTATCGGTGCAGTTTGTACACTAAATAGGCCATCATGCCAGACTTTGTCAAACGCCTTCTCAACGTCCAACAATGCCATAGCAGATGTTTTTGAAACGGACTTGTTCCGCCTGATGATGTTAGTAACTCTACTTAGTTGGTGGATCGTTGAATAACTTTTCCTAAACTCGAATTGCTCTTTGACTAAGATGTTATTTTCGTTGGAGAACTCCAGCAACCGGCTGAGTATCAACTTTTCGAATAGCTTCGAGATGGAGGACAAGAGGCTGATGGGGCGATAGCTTTTTTCACTGGTAGGATCTTGGCCAGGCTTGTGTATTGGAATCACTTTGGCTAACTTCCAGCATGCAGGGAAGTAGCCAAGTTCCAAACATTTGTTGAAGATAATTGTAAGATGGTTGAAGAATTCAATACAACTTCTGCAACTGCTTCACGGATGAAGTGTAACTTCACGTCGATGTGCTTGGCTCGCTTCGTCTCCTCTCGTTCGGCCATTGCAATAGCTCCTTGGTTGTCTTCAAATAGTGGTACCGGGAACAGGAACTCTGCACATTGAAGGTCTGTCATCAAGCCGGTCAGCCAAATCGTCTCGTATACACAGCAACTCATGGAAATATACTCGGTTTCAGTTGAAGACATCGCCACGGTTGATTGCTTTCTTGACGACCATGCAACAATGTTTCCATGTACCTTCAACAAAAATCCAGACACGCACTTGCGGTCAGTTTCGTCACTGGCAAAATCCACATCCACGTAGGCAGTAACTACTGGTTCCTTCGGCTTCCTCCTGTAGACCAATTTCAAATCTTTCGTCTACTTAAGGTACCTCAGCACTGGTTTGGCGTGCTTAAAATGTTCATGACCGGCTGCATCCTGAAACCTTGCCAATTATCCAACGACAAAACATAGGTCGGTAGGGATGCTCACAACACCCAGTCTCTCGACTCAACTGCAGTCTTGGTTCAGCTCGCGTCCTAAGGGGATAAAAATGAACTATCACTCTCTCTCTCTATCTGGCTAGTCTAGGACAGCTTTGTTAGTCCATGATTCAAATCCTTCATACTTGTAAGGAACTCGTTGAAATGGCTGTTTCAGCCAGGCTGTTTCACGTCATAGAGCGACCGCTGCAGCAAACATACCTCTCCATGATGGAACTTTGCCCCCTCTGTCTGGACACTGCATGTTGAGCTTCCCATTCAAAAATGCTGATGAATCTTCATATTGTACGTCGTATGTTTTCACCCACTTGCATGGTACGGGCTTCACCTCGTCAGGACAGTTGACCACGATCCATGTTCCGTTCTCGTCCAGGGATCTCAGCTCGTCTTGAGTCGCTTGCCTCCACTCACCTTCGTTCGGATGGCCATTGACATCGTTGTAACTTCCAGGCCTGTTGGAAATTAGCACCAGCAGAAAGAGCTCTATATGGAGAAATGAAATCTGCGAACCGACCTGGTTTCTGACTCTCCTGACCACTAGACCTTGTGGTCTTCATTCCTTTCTGATCGTGATGGGAGTGCCGCCGATGCACCTGCTTCGTTGTCTTCCTGTTGAGTATCATCATTATCACTTGGTTGAGGTTGATCTTGATCATCATGATTATACCCCTCTAGCTCGAAAACTGGTGGAACCGGTATGGCCAATCTATCTATGATCGGCTCTTTCATTTGTTGACTTGAATGGATATGCGGACTCGTTGAATTTTACATCACGAACATTTTCCGCGATTGTATGTCCCAGAGAGGGTATCCAGTCGGTGCGTATCCAGCTTACCTCTTTTCTGCTTCGGTACCTAGGAGAACGCTTGGCATCCAAACACTCATATCATATCTTGATCAAAATTGATATTGAATATATATTGTGAAGTTGGTGAAAGTTGAAATTCAGGTAAGCCTAATTAGTTAGTAGTAAATTGGTGAGCAAATTATGTGAGATTTCCGCGTTAACAGGCCCTCCTTGCCCAGTCAACGCGGGCGGCTTGTATCGGCTTGTATTGGCTAGTGCTAGAATTGGCAAATATCGTCGAAACTGGAGCGGGCTGTTTCAAACAGCTAGGACATCCACCGTCCTATGCTGGCTGTTAGTCAGACGGCCATTACGCCCACCCGTTACTGCTACTGCGCATTTTCTCATAGCGCAACCGTTCGGCTACGACGCATTACCACTGGTACTGCGCAATTGGTAGCCTTTGTACCGCTACTACAGCTCATCACTCCACTACGCTTGGGGACGCCTATACCCCTTACTAGCCCACGCGCGAGTCATCTTGGTGCGTAAGCTTTTGGTGACCAACTGATCCTGTTTGAGTTCGCGTACTAGAACGTCGCGGGACATCCGAAGAGGGACCGGATACGCTGGAGGAACCAGGTGAGATCTGTCCGAAAACTGCTCAAATTAGTTTTATTTGATCTTGAATGGCTATGCTAACACACATGAACTAGAAACGTGACGTCACAGTAGGAAACTGTTAGGTTTGCCTTAATTCAATAAATTTCTATTTCCCTTGAATTTTTAATTAATAAATCGCTAGCTCGATAAATTTAAGTTAAGTATATTCGGGTTTTGTCCAACTGAATTGAATAAAATAAATATTACTTCTAGTTTAGATTAGTTACTACACACATCTTTTGCGTCACGTTATTTGTATATGTTTATATTTGTTAGATTGGTTTGGGTTTAAATAACTATTGCATATTTCCCCTTGGTTGATTTTAAAGAATTATCGCGGTTTGAATTTGTGTTTTTAAATTTGAGTATCCTAGTCTGATTGGTTGGCTTTACACGTTTGGGTCAAAATAAGTTAGTTCGTTTGTGTCAACATCTGTGTCCCTGCCCTGAGAAGGGAGGTTTCTTGCCGGGTAATTAAGAACAAGTTGACGGTCCTTCTTTGGAAGGTGGCGCTTAAGCCGTCAGCTTAGCGTAGCACGGAGAACGTTAAAAGGATAGCATCTCCTCAAAGATACTTTGGTGCACTGGATTCCAACAGCATGGTTCTCATTTTCTCAACTTCAGTTCGATTGTAACATTCTGCGACGCCGTTGTGCTGCGGAGTGTATCCGACCGTGGACTCCACTTGCATGCCCTTCGACGAGTAGAACAATAGCTGCTCCTTCGAGAAAAAAATCACGCCCCAAATCGCATCGCAAATTCGATATCTTCACTCCAAATTTCACCGTTGCCATTGCTTCGTAGCACCTTGAAATATTCGAAAACTTAACCCTTCTTCTTCAGCAGGTAAACAACTCAGAAGTACGTATATCAGCCGTTGGCGGAGTTATCTGCCCGCATGCACGTATGCACGCGTTCCAGTGGCCTTCGTGTCTCCAGTCTTGTTCCGTTGAATGGTTACCTCACCATCTTATCTTCAGCGCACGCATCACAAAATTCTGCGTCGCCCTTCGCGTCGTCCAATCCATCCACCATGCTTCTTCTGCCAAAGCTGCAGCTTCGAATCTCCATCGGCTGCCATATCAATCGATCCATCCGCTAATAGAACAGGTTACCCTTTAGCTTTGCAATACCGATGATTTCGTTATCCTTCGATAGGATTGTTCGATCTGGTTTGAATTCTACATTCACTCCAGCCTTCAGCAGTTTTGCCAAGGACAGGAGATTGAATTGCAAAGTACTTTTCCAAACGACAGGGTGTATCGATTTTCTCCGACGCATAGTTTGCCCTTCACAGTACCTTCCTTGGTGGCTATCAGCATTTCACCATCCTTTGCACTGTCGATCTGTTGCGGTACATCCAGTTCCCGTATCTCCTGGAAGAATCATTCGTTACTGATCATGTGGCAGCTAGCACCTGAATCCAGGACCCACACTATTTCGTATTGCTTGGGTGACACTGATGCGCCGGAAACAAGTGCTACTACCTTATCCATCGACACATTTGTAACCTGAGCCCGGCCGCTCCATTTCTTCACTTTTGGGCAATCAAACTTCTCATGCCCAAACTCACCGCAATGGTAGCACTGACCTGGAAACTTCGATGATTCTTCTGATGTTCTATGAACTTAAGCAAAGTCCCAAAGCCTCCACAGCTGAAGTTCCAAGATCTTCAGAGAAATACCATGCGTTCGGAGAATTTTCAAACATTTCAAAGAAATTCGACGAATTTCATAAATGTTCCGAGGGATTTTAAGAACTTTACGAATGCTTCAGAGAAATACCAAGAATTTAAAACAAGTTTCCAAGATTTCCAAAGAAATACCAAACATGAGACATGCTCCAGGAAAATCAGAGAAGTTTCAATAACTTCAGGAAAGTCCCGAATACCTGTTGTGTGTAGCTTTTCACTTTCTAGAATTTCAGCGAACAAATTAACTTCCCATAAATGCATAACTGTCCAATTTTTACATTCATATGGGAATTAATATGCCTTTATGGGCAGTAAGGAAATTCGAAGAAGTACTGAAAACATTTAAAAAGCTCCGAAACCAGAGAATTTCCAAGGTTCCACATGTCTAATTTGGTTCCATTTGCTTGATTAGTTTTCGAGTTATGCAGAAATTTCTGTTTCATTTGTATGGGAGCCCCCCCCCCCTTACAGAAGGGGGAGGGGTCTCGAACCATCATAAGAACCTTCCACGGCCCCAAAAACTCCTGTATACAAATTTTCACGCCGATCGGTTCAGTAGTTTCTGAGTCTGTAAGGGTCAGACAGACTGACAGAAATATATTTTTATATATATAGATATAGATTACTACGTATGATGACAGTGAAATTTCGTCTGCAGATCAATTATTTGTTGAGATACGATTGAAATCGTAATTGATGGCTACTTATAAGACCCAGGATAGGGACATGTACCCTATCTATTGCTGTATGGTACTGGACTGTGGCAGCGAACCAGAAAAAGAGTCCCAAAACAGACATGTCACCCAAGTCAATTTCGCTTTCAGAGAGTCACAATCAGCAGTTTATCGTTTTCACTCACTCGATCATGATATCATCGATTGTGACTCTCTGAACTTTACTGGTTTCATGTGTCAGAGGCATAGTTTTCAACGTTATCTTACAAGTACAACATATCAGTCGAAGCAACCGATGTTTGATCAATGTCGGGTTAATTTTAAGCCATCCTGTGTCGACCCAATGTCAGCCAGTGACAAACGACAAACAACCGAATGGCATATTTTGGAAAAGATCTCGCGAAGAGCTGGATTGGAAGTCGCAAAACGCGTCATTTATTAAACGTAACAATCTTTTCTCATCGAATGTTTGTTTGTTTGTTTCTACCTTCTTGATGTATAGGTTAAGCTATCGCGAATCACAATCGATTACAGACTATAAGCCGTCCCGTTGTCCGTGACAGACTGCGGCGTGGTCCCATGCTGCGATAAAGTCCAAACTGCAATTTTTCATCAGCTGAAATGGAACGAAAGTATTATGTTCGGCACCTTCCCTTCCATTTTCACGCGATTTTCGGTCTGAGGTTGCCTCGAACCTACTGCGATTGATGGCCGTTTTTTTTTCAGGCGCGGGAAAACAAAGGTTGCTTTGTTGCAAAGTGTCAGACTCAATTGAAACTGAACCGAAAAGTCCGCTCCAATTGAGAGAGGAAAATTGATATCTCTCTGTATATCCCCTCCCATTAGGCTTAATTAATTCAGCTGCATTATAGCTCTCTGTCTGTGTTATCTAAACAACCCGGTCGTCGTCGCCGGTGAAGCTATCATCCGGTTCCGACCGGTTGCCATTGTCGTGCTCGCCATCTCATCGGATGTTCTGCTGCTGCTGCTGCTGCTGCAACACTGAAACAAAGTGGTTCGTGTAATTAGAGTGTACCGCACATACAATTTCACACTTTTCTCTCTCTGTCTCTCTCTGTCGCCCTGCCCGCAAGCCGTGTGTGTTGTAAATTAGCGAGTATTGCCGATATGTGGCTTAAATCCACCGTTTCCTGAATGCATTTTAGCGCTCTCGGTCGTTGGATGCAGAACCGGAGCCGGGAATTTCACACTTAAGTAGCCCTAAATTATGGCATGCCTCCTCTCTCACTCCCTCGGGATGGGAGTCCACCCCAGAGCGCGCAGCTTGAATTAAAATCATATTACACTAATAGGTGGAAAAAGTACCGATAGCAATAATAACAGTAACATCAAGAACCCGACCTCGTCGACGGCTACGACGGGCTCGCCATCATGAGCTTAGCGACGAGAGAGAGAGCGAGAGGGGCCCGCCGAATGGGGCGAATGGGCATTAATTCGGGATGTTTATGAGTCGCGGCCGTTTTAAGGTGTGAGTATGTGCGTGCGTGTGGTGCTGGAATTAGTCTCCGTTGGGGTGCGGTTCGTGCTTCAGCAGTTTAATGGTGGAATGTGAGTTTGCGAAAGGAAACCGGCCGGCCGGTCGCGGTCTGTCCGTCGCTGGTGTGAAGTGCTACACATAGGAGCTAGGGGGAGATTTGTGTGTGGTGGAGGGTGCAGGGTGGGGGATTCAAATTGAGTAAACTAGTTCAGATGAGTGCACTGTGGCAGTGCAAACATTTTAGCACACTCCGTTAAGAAAATGGGGAATCTGGCGGAAGTTTTCAGGCCAATCGGAAGCAGATATGCATGTTAAGCAAGGGAATTTAGATGAAATATGATGTGGTGTGATGTTGATTTCTGTCATCAAAAGGATAAACGTGTGGAGCAGTTCAACACCATAGTTCAGCGGTACCGGAAAGCTGGGTAAAGACCGAGTCGAAGTCGTCAGGTAGTTTTACCAGGACGACCATAATATGTCACCGGTGGGAGTCTCGGTGGGACAATCTTACATCCTACTCTTCTGCAGGAATCGCAAGCTCATCAGATCGGGGTCACGTTGGAATTGATTTCATGTAAAGGGTGTGCACAGTTAAATTGAATCACTTAGAAGTACTCGCCAAAAATAAGTCTCTCGACCGATTGTAATGAAATTTTCCCGAAGATGCCCGAACTTTCTTCTTAATTCCACCCTAAAGGTTTGACATATTTTTCTGCTTTCAATCACGATTCCGTAGAGACAACTTTAGGATGCTTACGGAGTTCGTGCTTCTTTATAGCCCAGTATCTTTTGATCGGTCGCAACTCCGGTGTATTTGAGGGATTGAGATCCTTCGGCACGAAATTGACTCCATTCGTCTTGTTTCACTCCAGAACGTCCTTGGAGTAGTGGCATGAGGCCAGATCCGGCCAAAAAAAATGTAGGAACGTTGTGTGATTTGAGAAACGGAAACAGTCGTTTCTTCAACTTCAACTTGAAGTTGTTACGAAAGACTTGCCCCGGTTTCCGCACGAACAAATCGCCTGTCAAATCATGATTTTCTTGGGGGACTTCGACAATTGCTGTTGTTGAGGGACTCTGAAACGTCGAACTTGTCTTTCGCAGTCACATACTGGTTTCCCGGAATTTGTTTGAAGTTCGCTTTTACGTCGTTCAAGATACAGCAGTGTAGCTTGGTCAACATTTGTGTGTACAGCTTTGATGCTGTCGTTCATTGCGGTTTGGTGCTTTCTAAAACCTTGAATGCTCGTTTTTGGCTTTCTGCACGAAACTTTTTGGCCAATTTTTTCGCGACATCCCGAACGGAATAGTTGGGTTTGCGTTTGAAGGCAGCAACCACTCGCTTGTGCTCTTCAACGCAGTACGGAACACGTTTTCTTGCACTCACTTGCTTCCGAGCGACAGTTGAACGTTCTCCGAAACGTTTTATGACACGAGAAACAGTAGATTGTGCGATTCCGAAGATGTGGGTTGTTGAGGTGAGTGTGCAAAATTTTCTCGCGCACGCACTGTTCCTTTGACTCCATTTTCAAAACTACTAGAAATTTTACAATGAAACTTACGCAGTGTAAAAAATGCACGCTGGTGTCATCCAGGGTTGCTTATACTCACTTGCTATAATGATATGTTGTGCTAGTAAGTAACAAGAAGAGGGTGTAAAGTATGTGTTTGACTCATAAAACCTGTCAATTGCGCTTTCAGAGCGTCACAGCGATCTTATGATTCGTGAGCGTTCACTCATAGTGAGTGCTCACGAGTCGTAAAATCGCTGATTGTGACGCACTGAAAGCAATATTGACAGATTTTATGTGTCAAACATATACTTCATGACCTCTTGTTGTAACTTACAAGAAATAATTAGCATTATACTATTTCATGGTTTCATAATTCCGAAAAACATTTTTTTATAGCAAGTGAGTGGAAGTAGCCCTGGTGTCATCTAACCCAACATTTAATTAAAATTAACCCAAAGGGCAAAATGTTACAGATTTTTTAAAGTGATGTAATTTAACTGTGGACACCCTTTACTATTTGGGCATGAAGCGCCTACGGCTTTTTGTAACCGGCAGTTTGTCCTGGTATTCGATGAGTGTTTCAGCATTGACCAGTTGACTCGATTGGTTACGATGTCTCTAGCAATACCTTTATTATCCAGTTCGTTTAGTTGGAAGGCTCAATCGCGTTAGCTTTACGGAGCCGACAATTCATTGTTCACTGTTTGTAACAAAATTCACTTAATTCAATGTCTAGTAGAAGTTGGGCCGAATACTCTCGGCATACTCGAGGTTAGAAGGGTACATTGCCGAAGGATAGGATCAGGGGAGGATTTTCGTTGTCTCATCAGCGCTTTGTCGCCAGTATGAATGGCTCCACCAATACCTTATATTTATAGCAACAACATGAATTATTATCTCGGGGGTTCAAATCCGCAAGTCTAATGCCAAGAAAAAACCAACATCTACGCCTACATTATAAAGGAACAGAAACGAATGTTCGTCGGTACCCTCTGTG